TCGCGCTCAAATTGATAGCGTTTATTTTAATTGGCTTACGGCGTTAGTTTAGCGTGAGAATATTCGCCGAGCTAGCTCGGTACTCTTCGGTACCTGCTCGCGATTTGTCTGGGTAATTAAAAGGATGCATTTGGTGGTGTTAATTTGCTGGATTAATGCGTGGATCATCTATGAACAATGAGCTGTGGACTATTAGAGAGTCGTGGGTCGTCTAAGAAAGATGGGCGATTTAGGAATCATGAATTGTATGGATCATTTAAGAGACGAAGAGGGATGCATGTAGCATTTAAAAATCAAGAATTATGGACTATCTAAAAGCTATAGATCATCTAAGAAAGATGAACCATTTAGGAATCATTAACTATAGACCATCAAAGAGCCATAGATCTTCTACGAAAATGATATCAAGATGGACCATTTAGGAATCATTAACTATAGGCCATCAAAGAGCCATAGATCTTATAGGGAAGATGAACCATAAACAATCTTAGAGCCATAGATCATCTAAAAAACATGAACCATCTAAGAGCAATGGTCCATTTAAGAACCAAAGAGCATGAACCATCTAAAGATGCATTAAATTTTAGCAATTTTAAATTTATTCAAAGCTTCGCATAACTTCCTATAGTGCGACAATAACGAGCGATTTTCATTCAGCATTCGCTTTGTAAATCATCTCTAAGTACCCTCTTGTATAGAGCATTTTCAGGCCATCAAACAGCGCTTGTGTCGCTGTAGTACCGCCAGTAAACTGATTAAAACCCTCCATCGCCGCGATTAGTTCATTTATATCCCTTCGTTGTATTTTTTTTAAAGTAGGGAGAAAGGAAAAAAATGGCGCGCCCCCGACCTACGGCGGAATCGAGTCGTGCACATGACAACGTGACGTGTTTATCGCGTCGTTTGCATAACGGCCGATTTTATGTAACTCGGTTATTCGCGAAGTCTGTTCGCTCGGAAAACCGGCCGTAATTAGATAGAAAAAAAGCGGCTGGCTGCGCGAGCTCGACGATTTTTTTTATTCGTTAAATAAATCGGGATTCGACGACGTTTTAAACCGGCGGCGGAAATGTTATATAACGAGGTATTTCGAATAATTTCGGCGGCCCCGAAGAGGAGGAAATACATCCTGGTGAAAGGAAGGAAAAGAGTTATAAATCACGCGGATGATAAACGCCAAGTTCGTGTCAAAAACCGAAAGAGTAAATTACGTGTCGGCGCCCGCGATAACGACCGACAAGTGAAAAGGAGTTTAGAGTGCGATTAATTCCGAAGAAAATAAATAATACAACCCTAACGCGGCGAAAAAATGATAAATTCCGCCGAAATTTTAACGGAAATCTGTCGAAATGTTGGCGAAACTGGTTCAAGGCCAGTTGGTAACACTGTCGAAACGTCAATTGGTAATAGATATGGTGAAATGTCACAACATTGGCTGTGAGACCGAACAGGACGAGAACCAAAGAAAGAGGCCAATAAAAAAATAACAGCCAGCTCGATTAGATCTCGCTGAATCACACGACAATTCGCAATTAAAATTTATCCAAAGAATTATTCTTTTTGTATCGTTTCGTTTGTTCCAATTGTTCGCTATCTGAGCAGAGAATTACAAATATTTAGCCAGTTTGGGGAAGTAAATTTGGCGAATTAAAATCAACATAACCTCATACTGTCAAAAGTGACAACACTATTGAAACGACAGCAACACTCTCGAAATGACAGTAGGCCACCTTGATCGAATCAGAATAATGTATGTACATTCCAGGGTAGTATTAGAGCGAATACATCAATCGCAAATAGCCGAATTGAAGCGTTAACGCGACCGAACTCCATCGACAAACGCAAACAATCGTTTCGTCGAATCCGCGGACCGTAAAAAACCGGCTTTAATAGGCGCACTAACTTTTCAATCGGTCATTTTGTATTTTCCATTCGAATTACCGGCCGCTCGGCCGCCCCCCGCGCGCCTCCCGCCCGCCCCCCCCTCCCCCCGTCCTCGTCCCGTATTATCCCGGATTTCGGTTTTTACGCGACGCGTCCGGGCGCCTGCGTCGCGACGCCGAGCGTTACGCGCCCCGGCCCTGTTCGAAAGTCGCCCGAAAAATGAAAAGTACAATTGACCTACAGACGCCGGGAATATGCTCCACGACTCCCTCGCCAAATAATAATAATATTGGAGAATTTAATTAACCGGTAAATTTGGGGATTCTAATGCGATAATAACGTTATGTATGGCTGTTTGTTTGTTAATATTTGCGGGAATATTGGGTGGTAATGGAGCACAATAACTCCGGGAGCGGAAATTCGAGTGAATATCGGGCGAGGAAAGTGAAACGGTTTGATACGATTGTTCGCTAATAATTTTCAGAATTCGCGTCTATCCGGTAAGCTCGAGAGCGGGGAAATTTCGAATGAATTCCCTTTTGTATAGCCGAGATAATTAGCTAACGATTAATTGCGTATAGCATTTGTAATTAGTACATATTTTTTTGTGCATGTAACATGCGGTTTGATATAATCGCAATGGCACTTTTCCAAGGTTTCCTGAGCTCGTTCCAGGTCGGCTCGGTTTACATAATGAGCATTATGGGGCGCAATAATAGCTGGTCGGAGCTTTCCTCATAAACCCGGTTATCTGGTAAGGAGTAATTTATGTGTTAATTGCGAAATCAATTTGGAGCGGGATTAGTACGTGGCAGGTTTTTACAACATAATTTGTATTGTAAAATAAATTTTACACGTTCGCGTAATCAAATAGAGAATTCGATTTGTACCGAGAGAGATTGTATTTATAGATTAGCGATGGATAAATTTATGTCAATAATGTCATCTGTCAAATATATCGGCCAATACGGTTGGAGTATATTGTAGGGCAGTAGGACACGAATAGATCGAATAGTATAGGATGATTTTTTTTGTGTGTGTGTATGTAATTAATTAGAGAGAACGAATTTACCTTGCAGTCTTTGCAATTATGAACGATGGAATAGTTCTGATGGCAATCGTAGCGAACGAGCAAATCGGCGTGGACGCACGACAACGATCTGGCGTAGTCGTCGAGCCGTTGGAGTTGCGCGAGCGATCGCCTGCAGGTGTCGACGTCCCCGTGGAAGGCGGCTTCGGGGAGCGCCTTGTCGACGGCGTGTTCGCAACAATGGGGCATCCGGAGTCGGTGCAGCACGTCACGCCTGCGCTGGGCCGGCACGTCTCGTCCGCAGACTTCCTCTTTGTGCGAATCTTGCAGGTAATGAAGGCACTGTTTAGATCTGTCTGATGAGGTCTGACAGGGCGGCGGACAGAGAGTATCAGTATCGGTACGATCGTCGTCGACGTGTAGGTGATTCTCGTCCGTATCCTTCGCGGTCGCCGTCGTCGCCGAGGCCGTCGTCCCGGTCGCGGTAGAGATCGATGTGGAGGAGTAGGAGGTCGTCGTCGTCGAGCAGTAAGAATGCGATGATGATAGTCGCAGCTGCTGCGGCGGCGGCGACGGCCACGGCGGCGCGCCGAGCAGCTCGACGTCGTCGCCGTCGCCGTCGTACCGTCCCGGCGACGCGTCGACGTCGTCGTCGTCGGCGGCGGCGAACGGCGGCGACGAGCTGGTGGTGAATGAAAAGGTGGCGGCGAACGCCAGGCCGGCCATCAGGAGCAGCGACGACAGGCGGCCCGATCGAGGGGCCCGGGGCATTCTGCGGGACAGGGTGCAGTGGCGGCGACGGCGTCAGCAGCTACGGGAACCGGGAGCATCGCTGCGGGCGGCCGGAGTGCCCCCCCTCGCGGCTCCGAGTGCCCCCGGGATCGACGACGCCGGTGTGCCTCCGACGAGGCGTACGCGAGTTAGGAGAGGATGGGCTCCGAGCGGCGGCGCGCCCCCCACGACCTGCACCCTCGCTCATGCTGCATGGTTGCCCACGCCGATGGAGCCGGCTCGATGATGATGATGGTGATGATGGTGACGACGATGCTGGTGGTACGACGAGGCGGTGAACGAGGAGACGGTGCAGGAGGGCCACCTCGACATATCACATATCCACTCACTTTGTTAAACGAAGACACTGAACGCGCCTATGGACTAGCGGCGGATACCGGAACTCGTAACACTTGAACTTTTGTATCGTTTGACCGCCATTTTTATCTCCGGAAAGTGAGGTAAATTGCGGTGCGATGATGGTCAGAGTCGTCGTCCTCCCCGCCCGGGCCGAAGCTGTGGCACCGGCCGTCTCTCACTCGACACTGACAGCTCGGCGGCGGCGCATTAAAGCGCCGGCGCGATCGATATCGCCGCCTCGCTGCCGCCTCGCCGCCTCGCCGCCTCTTTTCTCCTCATCTCATCTCCTATACATCTCTTTATCCTTCTCTCTCTTGCTCTTACGCTAGAGTACCCTGGAGTAGATAGAGATATATTGATACGGGACGGGAACGGGAAATCTGTCCGGAATTTATCCAGAATCCCCACATCCTTTTGCTTACTTACAGAACCATCTATCCACTCTTAATCGTATCAAAATTCTCTACGAGTTTCCGAATAGATTTCTACTCACTAAAATAAAACGCTAATTAAAAAATAGATATATTAATTTATTGCTGAGAGACATTTTTGAGTAGTACAATACAATACTTGTTCATCTTCAAACAATAACATTATTTATTATCGATGCAGTTAAATACACAGTTCAAAATACACATAAGTACATACAAAGAAAGAGGAAAAAAAACGATTTCGGTTCAAATAAAAAGCGATTTTGCGAAATTTACGAGCGACCCGCCATTTTCGACGCCCGTTTATTCGCTAAATACGATTGAAATTTCGTTCGAAATACTATTATTCCGGTTATTACAATTACAATTAGAAGAGAAAAAAAAATGTTTAAATAATCTACAAAAGGTGATTGATTCGATTGCTTCGAATTGCGTCCAGCTGCGCATTGAACAAAAACTAAAGTCTCTTTTAAAACTTACACACAACTACACAAATATCTTACAATCCCCGCCACCGAGCGGGAAAAATACATAAACAACAACGCGAATCAACCACCCCCCGTATATTTCGACCATTTGGCTTCCGCGAAAACTAAACTAAACGTCGACTAACAAAAAAACTAAACGTTTTTTTCTTTGAAATCACATTTTCATGGGAATATATTCTCAGTCAAAGCGGCTCGTCCCGTTTATAAAACGGAATTCGCCGTTCTGTGTGGATCCTATAAAACACTACTAGTTAACAGCGCCGCCGCCAGAGCCGCCAGCATCGCCGGAAGTAAAGATGGCGCCGTCAGACGGCCCGAGGAGCTGTTGTCGTTTCCGTTTCCGCCGTGGAACTCCTGAGGCGGCAACTCCGACATGTTGTGATGGTAATCTATAATGCAAATGGCGGTCGAATGTAGTACACGCAAGTTTGATTAGTAAATGTGTTGAGGATACGAAAAAAAATTGGTAATTTCGTACACAAATTGTGCGACAAGAAACGTGTTTTAACATGTAATTTTGATTCGATTTTTTTAGCGATAAAATAGCCAAAAAAAATGTACAATATATATAATTAGCGTCCTTTTACCTTTAATTCGTTACGGGCCTGTTAATTATTTTTTGACTATTTTTTTTACACATATTAAACAATTCGAAAGCTATTAAACAGTTTTGGTGAGATGATAATAAATGAAACACAGCACATACTTATAAAAAATGGTTTGCTGCTGGATTCACTGCCTCGGTAATCGTCGATAGTGTTCTGTAATATTTACGATAAAAAGTTGCGTTTAAAAATCATAAATAAACAACGAAAATTAAATCAACCCAGGTACATATTTCTACTGTTTACCAGCAAACTAAATCGACATAAATAATAACAACCGCAAGGTTCTAAATAATTGCTGTTAGTTTACTAACCTAGATACTATAGAAAAAATTATATACCAGACATAATGGAGCACTATTAAAGAGTGAAGAAATACGATATACAAATCCATTTTGTCTGCATAACAAATTCTACTGTCGGTGTGTTTTTCCGAGATACATGCCCAACCGTGCAAACAACCATTTTACATACACATAATCCTGAAATGTACGTCGAATATTTGTTAGGTAAAATACGATATACATTCCAAAATCAACTAAAAAAAAATCGCCCAGTTAACACAGTGATACGGTGCATAATGTTAGTACGAATGATTTACTTTCGAAGCGTAAATAACAAAACATGCAATTCGCAATTAAACGAAGCTTTATTATTCGATATGGATGGTAATACATACTTGATGAAGAGAGCTTTAATTGGCTTTATCATTTTCCCAGCTTTTGATTTTTTTTAGAAGCTAAAAATCTCCTGCGTATCGTTTTAGTCAATTAGTCGTTGCTTATGCGAATTGTTTTCTATTTCGATCAAATCAAAAATGTTTCCAGTCATCGTATAAATCAATCCCTCGATTATTAGTTTCCACTCGGTGAGTTAATGTTAGTTAAATTAATTATTTTAAATCGATAATAAACTGTTATTCCGCACCGAAGATATTAAAGAATCGTTACGATAGAAGCTATAAAGAAGATATAGTGGTTACGGAAAATGTTTGAAACAAAGTTAATCATCGCAGGAATAACAGTTTATTTCACCAACAATGGAATTGGAATCAAAACCCATTAACACACCATAATAAAAAAAATCGTTTCACAACTTCAAATTCAAAAAAATAAATAAATAAATAAATAAATAAACTCGTCATGCTTCGTTAAGTTATCATCAGCGTCAGTCAGCAAAACTAATCTCATTTAATACCTGTATCGCTATCGTTCGAACCGTCGGCGAATTGGTTATCCGAGCTCTCTTCATCAACCACGCTCTTCCTCAACTCACTGGATCCGATGGTGCCCGTCGGGGCGCCCTTGCACCCGAACCACCAATAGGCCGTCGATCTGGGAAAGGCGGGCGTCGTGGCGTCGACGGCGAAAGCCCTATCGTTAAACCTACAACACACGAGTCAATTACCACGAGCTGAACAAAGAAAGATTATTGAAATAATAGCGAGTTGGAGTGAAAAAGTTGTAAAAAAGTGTGTGAAAAAAGAAAGAAAAAGTAATCACTCTTTCTTCTATAATATGAGACTAATGAATGTTGTCTTTGTTGTACTCATATTGATTAGTTTTCGGAAATAAGTCGAGTCGACCTCGGTTGAGTTTTTCTTTTCGATTCGTGCAATTTGCGCGAGCACAAAAAGTCTTTTGTGATTTACGAAGCGACCTCCGGTTCTTCCACATCAATTTTCGCGGCGACCTTCGCGGAAAAACCTACTCCAAACCACTCCAAAACTACTCCAAAACTACTCCGAAAGAACCTCACCTGTAATAAGCGTTGTCCTTGTAGAAGTACGTGTAACCGTTGGTCCATTGGAAGGCGGCGTCGAGATTGTCCGGGACCCCGTCCCAATTCGATATCGGCTTCGGGTAGGTGTTCTTCACCGGCGGCCTCTGCGACGGATCGAACCGCCAGAATTTGCTGCCCTTGAAGAAGTACAATTTCCCGTTGCCGCTCCACACCATCGCCGTGTCCACGTCGTCCGGCACTCCGGTGAATCCTTCGGATATCTCCTTCGGATAGGCCCCGTCCGCCTTCTTGCCCTTATACCTAACGCAAAATCGAATGTAAACCGGTCCTAAAGTTACTATTTTTTTTGAACTGACATTAATGACAGTTTGAATGACAGAAGTTTAATAGAGGGGATCAATTTTTTGTATCGAGGTGCTGCAACGACTGTTATTTTAGTAATAACGTTCTGCTGAGTACTCTAAACGCTCTATTTTACTCTACACTACGGTAAATTACACTTTTTTTCACATTGTAAGCGAATAACTGTTAAAATTGACATTTATGACATTTCGAATGACAGAAGTTTAATAGAGGTGGGAATCGAGTTTATGGTATAGAGGTGCAGTAACGACTGTTACAAAATAACCGTTATTTTTCACATATCGTTCTAAAATTGTTAAAAAAAACCAGATGCATCAACGAAACGAACGATTACCTCCAATATTTGGATCCTTTGAAGAAGTACGTTTTGCCGTTCTTGTAGGTGAAAGCGGCGTCGATGTGACCGGGCAAGCCGATCCAGCTATCGGAAATGAGCCGGGGATAGCCCGGTTCGACGCTGTCCTCGGTGAGCTTCCAGTACTTGTCCCCTTTGAACACGTAAGTGTGCCCCTCGGCCGAATTGAAGATGGTATCGAAGGTGGGATCCGAGCAGAGGCCGGCGTCGTGGCCCGACGGCGGCGCCTTGTCGCCGACGCCGTGGCTGCCGTCGAAGTCGCCGTACTGGTCGTCGTCGTTCTTCGGATTCGACGGCTTCGTCTTCTTGCCGTAGAGCGCCTGGATGCCTTCGATGTCGTCCGAATCCAGGTTGAAGATGGGATCGTAGCCTCGATAGAACGGCGCCATCAGCGCCTGCCTGACGTCCGAATGGCTGAGGCCCAGCGAGTGGCCGAACTCGTGGGCGGCCACCTGGAAGAGGTTGGTGCCCCTGTAGCTGTTCACCGACCAGCTTTCGGAGGCGTCGAAGTGCGCGTCGCCGCCGAACACCTGCGGAAGAAGAGGCCTGTTTTGTAGACCTGGAGAAGAAAGAAGATTTGGGGTTTGCTTACGGGGAAGTAGGCGTGGGCGAGGGTGCCTCCGGGTCCGTCGAAGGGATCGCCGTCGCCGTGCTCGCCGTACTCGAAGCGGATTTCGATGTGGACTTGGCCGGTTTTGGGCGTGAAAGTCAGATCGGTGTAATCGGTCCAAACGTCGAAGGCCCTTTGCACTTCTTTGTCGACGTCGGAGCGCTTCAATCGGCTCGGGTACTTGCTGATTTTGTACGTGAGGTTCTTCACTTTCCACCGGCTGCCTGCACTCGACGAGAAATTGAGTTATTACTAAACGCCATTGACCCTTAATGTTGTTGTTAAGGCTCAATGGTGCAATAATTTAAACACCATTGACCCTTAACGTTTTTTAGCAGTTACATGCATATTTTTTTATTAATTATGCGACGGTGGATTCGAAAATTGTAACGTTATATAACGATTTTTTTTATGAACAATAATTTACCGTTCGACGAGTTTTAGGTGTCGCAATAATTTGGACAATTATTTAATAGAAAATAGAATATAAAACCGCTTTTCACGGGATTAAAAGCGGATTCGCCTGCAAGTTATCGCAGGAGATTCGGTTCAGGGGCTCCGGTGAATCGGACACAAAAAAAAAATCGTATTTATTCGCTATTTTTTTTATAATCGAATCCGTCCAAAATTAATCTGGAATATATGTGTCTCTGTCGCTCACCTTGCAAAGCGTATCTTTTCGCTCTGTTGTCTCCAGTGCCTACTTTGTCTTTGACACCGCACCTGGGCAGTACCATTGTGGCTTTAGTCGTGTCATCTAATTCACCTGTTAAATTACAAACAATTACAATTACAATTACGGATTTATTACAATTCATATGGAAGGTTAAAAGTTGAAATAACAAATAATAACTGGAATTAAAACTTTTAAAACGCTCGCTTATTATTTATTGACTCGCGGCAGCCTTGGCAGTGATGAAAAAAATTTCGATTGATGCACATTGTGTTTAATGGATGGCGAATTGTATTGGCAACAATAACATATACAGGTTAAGGTTGGGCCCGCTATACCTGCACGTCGGTTATTGATGTCCCGATAAATTAGGTATTAATATCGCTTAACCTCGGAATAGGCTTTTGTAGCGGCTCGAAATATGGGCGGTTTGTTCCATATTGGGCAATTCGATATTGTTGTAGGTTAAGGAAATTGTTAGAAATTGATTGGTATTCCGCAAATTCGCCGTTCGGATTAATAGCGTGGGGTAAATAACATATTTACCTACTAATATTCGACAGTTAGATTTTAACCTACGCAGGAATAAAAATGTTTAGCGACCTCCTTCGCTATAAAAATAATAGAAATTTGTGTTTTGGGATGTTCGACTTACCCGTAATGTTTAATCCAGCGAAAGCTTGGAAGTCTTCTATGGCTTTTTTGTAGGATCTTTCGTCTAATATTCGACTAGAATTTCCCTTCGCAGGGCCTAAGTAGCCATATTGGGAAAGATACAACTGCAAAAAAAAATAATTGTTGCTAAAAATATCCTATAAAATTTGTTTTATCTGAATCGACTCGAATCATATTATCATAGATATGATTATCACCATTTGTGCTTCAAGTTTTCTGTTTAAAGTACTCGAAACTTGCATTTTTTTTAACTAGTAATTGCGTATAAACTACAAAAGTACAATAACCTTTAATAAAATGTTGATATACGCATTGTTTCTCCCGCGAATTTTCACCTCCGGACGCGAATCTCCTGCGGTCAATCGGCCTCGGAGAATTTTTAATTGCGTTATTTATATTTAATTCGAATTCGGCCGAAACGAAAAAAATAAAAACATATGTTCGATTATATTAAACGTCTCTAAACCGAATCATTTCCTGCGCTCCATAAACGAAACCGCTTTAACCGCAAGAACGTGAATCACCGTAGAATAGGGAAATTTGGATTCTCGCTTGTACAATTCCTCGGTTTAAATACCTTCCCAAAATTTCCACAAACTATCCAAACGGCTGCGGCAAATTGAGCAGTAAAGTAGATTCAGAGTAGATTCAGAGTAGTGCAGATTCAGAGTAGATTCAGAGTAGTGCAGATTCAGAATAGAGTAGATTTCAGAATAGATTTCAGAGTAAATTCCAGAGTAGATTTCAAAGTAGATTAAATGAGAGAAGTATAGAAAATGTGCATCAAACTAATACACTTTAAGTACTGTAAAACATCATTTTATCATCAACTTTGCGCCCAATTAACATCCGTTGGATCATACCCGTTTCACCTACGCTAATTTAATTAGATAGTAAATGTTCATTCATCCGAGATATGAGTCAAATTTTATGAATGAACAGCGCCCACGATTCGATTTTCTACCAGTTCGAAAGAAAACAAACATTCTCCGAAGTGATATGAGTAATTTAACTACCTGGTTGACTCACCGTTCGGTTACCGGCAGAAACGAAAACCTTTCATTACGTTTTCGATAAGCAAATTGTGAATTCCATCGGTCAAGGTTGTGTTTAATGTTTTAATATGTCGCATTTGTACGGACACGTAAGTGCGTTTTTGAGCGAATTTTGTTCGTATAATTGCGAGAAATTTGAATAATTGGGTTATGTCAGTTGAGGTGTCAGTGTTGCCAATATACTTTACTACGTCATGATTTTCTATTGGATAATAATTGTGCCATTAGTAATTTTAGGAAAGCTTTCTAGGGCGTTCGTGAACCGTAAAATTGAGGTTTTTGTACGAAAATTCAATCAGTTTTGGTGATATAACCGATACATTTCGAATTTATCGTTTTACTTAAGTAACGTTTTTCGTTTACAATGACAAGCAGGGTGTCCAACATACGCTAACAGAAGTAACTAATTATTTTTTGATTGGAGTAATTCCTCGAATCAATTATAATACGCGCTTGTTAGGATCAATTTCTGGCAATTCACGAGCTGTCAACTCAATCTTAATTAAAAAATTGCGCCTCATTTGCAGCGATTTTTGTACAGATAGCGAAATGAATGCACATTGTGCGCAAATTCTTCTTCCACTCCACTCCACGTGAATCATTCGAGGAGATTTTAAACTTGCCGAGCATATGCCGGAAATCACATGTGGATTTTATTTTTGTTCGGGGAGGAAATTCCTTTCTTTAGCGCTGAATTATCAGTAATTGCGTTCCGCGAGGAAAATTCCTGAATCCGAAAATCGCGAATCGTGATAAATTGAATCGTATAAATGCGAAGAATATTTTTTTCGCCGTTTATTAACAATGAGATAATCGGTTTTCAACGATATTAAATTATGCAAATGCGCTTAATTGGACGGCTAATCCATGTTATTAATATTCGCTTTAAACGGAAACTAACAGGAAATTTTTTTATTGCACGCCGATATTGCGAAATTTCCACTATATAGAAATTCGTTCCTCGCAAAACTTTTTATAAATACACGACGAGTCGATTTTTTTTTCTACGGGGGGATTAAAAAAGTAACTATACAAGATAAGCGGCAATGTAACAATAAATCGATTATTTATTTTTCTCATGACACTGTTGTCTTGTCAGGTGTGCATGCTATTTATCGAATCACGCCTTTTTCGCTTCCGAGAATAACCGTAAGGTACAAGTCCCGAGTTCAATGTATCTTAAAATATTATTCATAATTTTTTTGTCGAGATGATACAGATCGGTTCGATCTGATTTTTTTTTATTGTCACCCACTCTCTCCGTTCGCTCGAGATCAAATCAATACGCTGGCTGGTTAGAGATGTAATTTCGTTGTTTGCAAATTATTGCATTGTTGCAATTCCAAGAAAATTTAATTGGCATGAAACACGACCCGTCGAGGTCGTGTTATACCAGAAAAAAATAGTATAATTAACCTGTCAAAACGCCAAACTTTCGGATTAAGTCGTGGAAATAGTTGTGTGAGAAACTCCATCGTTTATTTTCGAGACGGGGAATTTATGGAATCGCCTCAACGTGATCGAAATGACGAGTAAATTTCGATTTCGATATAAAAGGCGCGTTGTTTTCCGAACGCCAGACGTTCATTGCCTTTTGGACTGGCTATTGTACGAAAATAAGCTTTCTACAAACGCCAGGAACTGTTTTAAAAATACTAGCGCTACTATATTCGCTAATAATAGTACGTTTTTCCGCAAATACGCCGATTTAACCCAGTTCTTTTCGGTCGGGTTGGCGAAGTTCAAGAACGGAACCGCGACTAACCGGATTGCGGGCGAAATCGAAAGCGCTATATCGAAATTGTATAATCGATCGATCGATAGACACGAAAAAAAATCGATGCTAAGGAGACCGAGAAATCTATTCGAATTTGCAAATATCGCGCTTGCGGTCGAAGTGAAATTTATGGCGATTTTTGTCGTAATATACCGCCGAAATTTCCAATCCCCGCGCTAAAATCTATAATTGCAATTTAAAGTTGATCATTCCTCTGGCATTCCTACTTTTTTTTAGATTTTCTTGTAACCTTTGTTAAGCGATCTAAACAGGAATTATCAAGGAATGATGCTTGGAGCAAAATAATTGTAAATATTGAAAGTTTTTGGATTTTTTGTACCGTTTATTAAGCGATCTAAAGAAATAGAAATAATGCTTGAAACAATAATAATTGTAGATATAAAAATTTCGTAAGATAAATAATTGCATATTAAATACAATGAATCACTAGCGGATATCTAACAAATTTTTAAAAATAAATATTACTCGCTATAGATTTATCTTATCAATGAATCTGGATATATCTCTACAAAACTCTGTTATTTACCTCTACAAACAAAACTGTTTGTATCGTAAATACATAGTTAAATGTTTTCCTATTCTGCATGTCTAAGCGCGGCGGAAACGTTTAATTTAACAGGATAATTTCGCGAAACTACCGTTGAATGCGTAATAATCCCAACAATAAGTAGCCATTAGAGTACTACATATTTACTCGTTTTTGTGCATAGTATATGTTATATTATTTATAGAGATTCTTATTCTCGGTGCGATGGTTCGGCAAGGACGCCAGTAGAGAACAAAAGCGCCCGAAATAAAGAAAACAAAAAAAAACACTCGCAGAGAGAGAGAATATTCGTGTACAGAATATTAAAATATTATTCGCCTGTCAATGGCCCGCGACAGCACAGTTACATACCTCGAAATTATTATTTTTATTCGAGCAAAGAGTGCTACGCCCCCGGCCCGGGGGGGCAGGTCTGTTCGTTAAACCCGCGCATAATTAATTGATATGTGGAATCGCAAAAAACACGTTTTCGATTTTAATATTAAAAGTGATCTCTTGTTCGTCAGAAAAGTTTTCTTTCCGCCCGGTGTGCTTATCAGATCGGACAGAACGATCAACTTTCGCGATGTTCGCCCGTTTGATTGATCGTTTCTCGTTCGGATCCCACGATTCCGCGAATATCGCGATATACAGGCCTACCACCTGTTGATTTGGATTATGACAGGTCAACTGTCAAATATATTTGCACGATTTTTTTTCACAGAAATAAAATAAATTCTTAATGTCAAATGTCAAATGGAAGTTGTCTTTGTTGCACCCACAGACACCATATTGCGTACTTATTTGCACTTGGGTACTTACAATTAGATTGCAATATAGAAAAAATCCATATTGTGTAAAATTAGAATTACATTATCATTTCATCGGCATTTTGAGAATGAAAGAAATCGCATTATCACGGCCGTCTGTATAATGTTTATAAATTTTAAATTTCTTACCTTGAGAAAACGAGAAAAATCTCTAATTATCCAGCGATTAATATTATATAACGTTGATAAAATTTCGTATTAAACAGTAATTCACGCTTGATGCGATATGGAAGGATTTTCTAAAACATCCTAAAACACTTGAAAATCAACCGAAAAAAACAATGACAGTTGACAGGCAACTTTCCACAAATTTATTCGATTGACAACTGCACGTTTAACAGTTGTTTTTTTTGTAGATAACGTATAAAACGAACGTTTCCTCATTATCTCGTTCGAAAAACGAAAATGTCGTCGATGCAAAATCTAGCGTGCCGCACGTTTATTATCAGCTTGACCTTTTCGCCGGCTCCTTGATTTAGAATAGAGACAGTGGAACAAACGTTTCGCTAAATATAAAGACCTTTATTACAATTTCCCGTCTATTCGAGCGTATGTTTTCCGGAAACGGTGCAAAAATAGTCTTACTTGACAACGGCACTCTTAAAGTTGTCACTAGATCTAACAGCTTGACATTTCTTAAGTTGTCACATAGATTTATCGGAATGTCAACTTAAATTGTGACATTTGACGTTATTGCTGTATGTTTTATCGGTGGAATTGAAAGAAGTTTTTGAATGTTTGCATGTTTATTGGGCTCGCTTGGTAGACGTTATAAATACTACGGAGAGTGCGAATGTCCCGTCCACTTATTTAATTATTTTTGCGCTAATGTATACATAGCTGTATGAAGGAGTTTATTTATCAGGCTTCAGATGAGTCACAAGAAGCATTTGCACCATTCTCGGTATAGGAGAATTGTTTGTTTGCCTCTCGCAGAAGGTGCCTCGAATTGCGAACGAAAATAATAATTTTACGATTTACATATGTGTGTTAGAGGATTATTTACCTCATTTTTTTTAGTCTCTGTATATCGGCGGTTATTTTATGACTCTTGTATGTGTGTAGAAATCCTTATACTTTTTCTTCGAAATCGTAATTAGACCGATTTTATCAGTCTGGTAACATTTCAGCGGAATACTAAAATTTGTTAGGGAGATCCTTATCCATTAAATGGGTCTTTTGACTGTAAAATGTCCGTTTGTTCGATACGTTTTGCGGCACAAACTGATCGATTTTTTCGGCGTATACAGGGTGAGACGAATCATTCGAAGGCTTCGGGCGAATAAATTTCGATAAAATGATATTAACTCAGCCGGCGAAATGTCGAAAGAAAACCGAACGAGTCGGTCGAGCATATTGCATGATAATTCACCAAGGCTTTTGTGTAAATTACACACCCGGAAACGGTGGAACTCACCTTGATTGTACTGAAAACGTGTACAGAGGAAGCGTTTCCTAAGCGACGAAATTTTCAAACGACAATTGATAAAATATATCGAACGATCCTCGTATATATTTATTTTATTTTTTGTTTTAAAATGTGCTGGAAAATGCTTTACTCGGGTCGAAATTTTCGACTGAATATTGATAATATAACGAACGATCCTCGTATATTTGTATATTTTTTTTTATTTTAAAATGTATAGGGTGGAAAATGGTTTAATTGTGTGGGCATTTTCAATTGAATGCTTGAATAATGTTTGAATAATGTTGATTTATTGTAAATTTTTGCAGGAACCAAATCTTTCCGAAAATCATCTAAAATTACATTTCTTATCTGTTCTTACTTACTTTATGAATAATTGTTAACAATGAAATTTTATTAATCATTACAAGTTATTCATAAGCGGGTGATCGGGTGAATCATCGGGCATCGCGTAACTTTCGATTTTCATCGATAATTTTTACTAATTTTTAAATATACCCAATGGTTTTTTAATACAGTGCTAATGTGCAATAAAACGACCGTTCGGCGTGAATCAAAACTGGTTTTCCTGGTAAAACACACCTCGTCTGGATAATTAGAATATCCACTCTATCTTACTGACGTAATTTTCTCCAAAAACAAAAAAAAATCGTGGAGAAAATGTTACTACAATTTCGAGTATTTATCTCAATAATTAAAAAAATCCCATTTATCCTTTGAATAAAATTGCTCATACATCTCGGATCGTTTACCTTCTTTTTTTTTTCATACACACAGTATACTCGCATCGATAAAGGTTCATTCGAACGATCAATCGATCAAAGGACATTTTCTGCGCTATTAGCATTCGTGAATCACCGGCGGAATAGAAATGATCGTTTATCATCTCCTTTGTTTACTCTATCATTACTATACGAAATACCTGTAACAACAATTCGGTTATATCGTTTTCACGGCCGCCAAATTATCGGATAGTATCTGGAAATTCGCAAATAATGCGGGCGATAATTAAAATTACGCCTAATAAATATCATAACTGGGTTATTATTTTTATATTTTTACCTATAAAAATGTGTAATGCAAACATTTCGACACGCTGTATAAATAATCTTATCTCATTACTGTGTGATATATTTTGTAGTTTTGTTTATTTAAAAATCAGTAAAATCGCTGGAACGAAAAGTAATTGTTCATAATTATGACACATAAAAATAGATAATTAAGTATTTGCAAAATAAATATTTTTAACAAGTAGATAGAATGGAAAATAAGATGAAATTTCGCAGGATCATATCATACGAAATATTTTAAACTTTGAACTTACACTGCGATTTGTGTGCTACAAATTATACAGTAAAAAGTACATAATTTTGTTACGTGTAATTAACATTAAACCAACCCAATTAACACGCATTAATTCGAAATGTAATATCTGCTTGTTTTCGATTCGATATATTTTTTAGCTTCTCGAATTTATCTCTAGACCCCGTCGTCACGTCGCAATTGCGTAAATTAATTAATTAATACACATTAACAATAATATTCAAGCGAACTTACCAAAGCATTGCTATCGCTCGGCGCGGTTTTGGCCAATTTCGTCGAACACAACAGCAGGGAAAATAATATCACACAAACTTTCATCTCGACCGCGCTTTTCTTTCCACCAGACAAGACTGAAATCGAACTCGCCGAGAATCCAGCTCCCGATATCTAATCTTATCTTATCTTATCCTCCTGCAGCGCCGAAAATTCACCAAGGACCTGCGGATTGGGGATTATCCTGGCGGGCAGCGGATATTATCGGACAGCGGACAGCGGACAGGCGGACAGCGTCGCTCGGCGTCTTCGCGGGCACACTGGAATCGCTCGCGGTCACCGAGCGAGTTTATATGCCCCGATCCAAACCTACCGCAAGGATTCCGAGTCCGATTCTTGCGTGGTTGGGCTGGCGGATTTTTTTTTTTTTTAATTTTCGGTCTTTCGATTCTCTTTCGATTCTCTTTCGATTCTCGGCGATGCGTCGTACTTCCTCGGTCACTTCCGGATTACGTTGCTATTGGACCGCCCTGTATTTTATGCAGGGTGACACAGCATTACTTTTGTAAATTGTAGAATTTCTTATTTCGCTGTACTATTGGACCGCTCTGTATTTTTTACAAGGTGAAACATAAATGAGTCTTCTTAAATGATGTCTTAAATGTCTTCGAAATGAGCGTAGTGAATTTGTTATGTTTATGTTGGTACCCAAAAAATAAGTTACTAGAATACTGTCATTATAATGTCAAGTAAACGTCAACTCGATGAAATCTCGGTAAAAATAACGTGTTTTGTTTATTTTTCCTAGTTTATCCCGTGCTTTTCCCGAAGAAAACTGTGTAGCAAAATTAATGGTAGGTAAAAATAATTAACAACCTAATGGATTAATGTTTTTACGCCACTCTGTGATGATTTGTATTCAAAATAGGGACATTTCTTGAAAATAATAACAACTGTGCACTTTGGGTTGCATAAATTTGTCCAAATTTACCTTTTTTCCAACTAACTGCCGTTATTCCAGGAAAAGTTTGCAGGAAATTTGGAAGGTGAGAAATTCTGCAAAATCGTCAAATAATTTTTGCGGTGCGAAAATCCTATTAGGATTACGCTTTGAAATAAAATATTCAGCTAACGTTTTATCGAGGCGGGCGACGAATAACCTTAAGGAATCTTAAGCAGATTTGGTTCGAAATACATACAGTTATTTCTCATAGGTTTTTACAGGTGTTTTGAGAAAAAACTGTAATGATGTATAAACCCTTTCGTAGTCGAAGAATTCTTTTTGGGCAATTTATAATTTCCGATTATTAATTGATTTAGCATGTAGGAAGGCGCTCCTGGTAGGTGCAACAAAAAAACCGCAAAGATGCATTGAATGCAAATTACTTATCGGGTATATCCTGATGATTCCGAAAAAAATTATTAGGGAGATCCTTTGTGGATTTACATTTTTTTAGATCGCTCAATGTCGAATGTTTATTCATGAAATTAACGCGAATTCGGATTGCATTTGTCACGAAATTACACATGAACTATATGAAATTAAATAGTATAATAAATTGTAGGTCTATACAACTATAACAGAATGTACAGGAAAATCGTATCATTGCATTTGGTAAGTAAATTAATTCATAATTGTTCATGTGTTAAATTTGTTTACTTTGAGATTAGATTAGGTACAAAAACCCTGTGTGGAAACGCATCTTACGCAAATTGCCACAACTTTTGTATACCTATATCGAAATTGAATCACTTTAAATATTCAAACAAATCACGCCTTGCTCTTATCTGTTGCGTTTTCAACGAGGGATCCCCCAATTACCAATTACGAATGGCAATTCGGTTGGCCAGAAATAACCTCAATTTGCGTATAATATTGACGAGTACATCGCGAAATCTTATCTATCATTTCCATGATAGTAGGTATCATTAAAATATTCATATGCATCTCATTGTGTTGGTAATTTTTACGGTTTTACAATGGCCGGTTTGAAAGAACTTTTAAAAATGAATGGGACACAATGTACCGTGGGTAGGGCCTTCAATTTCTTCAAAAATGCGGGTTTAAAATATTCTCCGAGGATATTGGATATGTAATTTTAATAATATTTACATACGTACTAATAATTGTTGCTGTTTAGAAGTAATTTCCTACGAAATGTTGGTATTTTTAATCAAAAGTCGATTTTTTTGGTGTTAACCTTGACATTTTTATCTCGTTCGAAAATTGAACTCATCTCGATTTATCGAATCGAAAATTGTACGCGAGTGCTGCGCGAAAATCCGTTAAATTTATTCAATAATATATTGCGAAACCACACTGTGACAAAAATATTATAGTCTTAATTGCGATTATTTAACGTTAACCGCGGTTTGTTTTGGTTCAGGTTTGATTCATCTCGAACCAAAAAACGCTCCAATTAACGGCGAATTAACCGCATTTCCTTCCTGACTTTCCAAACACTACCGGACCGAACGTCACTTAAAATTTCATTAATCCTCTAAATTCTACGAAAATAATCCACGCTTTTAATTACGCTTTAGATTATAATTCAGTACTTTTAATTACTAACGATTGACAGTTTATATTTTCCCGGGAATTTCCTCGGAACAGCGGAAAATTTGTTCCATTTTTTTTTTGTTCAACAAAAGCCGCATAGATTTTATTGCATGGCGTGCTAGCTGTACATTAAAAATTCGTCGAATGTTCGTATCGATTAATTACGGGACATTCGGTAATTGCATCCAGCCGGTACGTCTAATCACGTGCCTAATTAGATGTAATACAAACAAGTATAGTCCATTCGCTCAACTTACTCAGTACAAATTTGCCTGTTTCTTGAATACAATTGAACTGTAGGAAATGATTAATTCGTAAAAAACACGTAATTTACAGGTTATAAGCAATTTAATCGACCCATTTAGTGCAATTCACCCCGAATTCTGAGTGAAACTGGCCATTTAGGTACTATCATTAGAAATAAATCATTTAATCCAAAGCTGCGTTAGTTCAGCGAATGGACTATTGGGTAGCTATAATTGTTGAACAAAGACGAATAAAATCAATAACGAAATACAAACAAAATCATAAACACTCAAGAAGAATAATCATCTATTTTATATACGGGTTGTCCCGCGCTAAATTTCCGTTTCCCCACAACCTTCGAAAATCCATATTTACGCGCTTCCTCTTCCAAGATTTTATTATTTATGCTCGAATGCTCGTAGGCATATTTTACATAGGCAAGTCAGAATCGAAACTCGTCCTCTACTCGTCCGATTCACCGGCTGAATAATAACTAATAACTAATCGCATGCAAAGCTGCGATTAAAACATGCGAAGAAATGTGGAAACGAATTCGCTTCCGCGCCGCCACAATGCCGAAAAAAAATCGGAAAAATTCGATTTTTTTCCATCGATAATCTCTTGTGCATCGATATGCAACGCATCAAGGCTGAAGCGGCGAAATAGGTTACGTAAAAGCGAGCACGCTAGAGAGTTAATGATAGCTCGGCCGTGAAAATTTCAATTTCTGTTGCAATTTTGCACTTTTGAGAGAATTTTTACAACGGTAATTTTCGTACGAAATCTCCATGTAATTACCTCTTTACCTGGTGACGATCGTTTAGTTTTGCGTCGATTAACTAAACGAGTTTTTATTAGATTTTAATGCGCATGTATAACTCGACTATCCTTAAATCACTCGAATGCGAATTTTCCAGCTAGAAAAATGTTCTGTTTTTATTTCAAGCACAAATCGGCGGCCGTTTTCATGGCCGCTTTCACGCTGGTAAGTCGATTTCCTACATGTAATTCTGTAATTTTCATACATTTCTTGCATTTTCTAGATTACCGGCTTCGTTGGTATATTAATATGCACCAGCCAGTTGCATTTTGCGCCTGGTAAAACTCGGGAGAATTATTTGTGTTTCTCGATCTTCCATTTGATAGCGAGTATCGTAATTATATCTGGATTGATTTGGGTATACAAAACGTTCTAAACAATTTCTCTTAATTTTATTTAAATATTTTTTTAGGAAGAACCCGCGTTGATTTTATTGTACGAAGGACTCCATTTGGCTACTCTAACGGCATTTATTACTCATACATTTTTCTACATACCGATTGGAAGGACGTTTTCCGCCATTATCGTCTCGACAGGTCAGTGTAAAAATCTTCTGAAATTATTTGTATTGAAAATGTAATTGTAGGTTTTGTTCTGTACTGCATCTATAACGTGTATCGGTATCAGGTAGAGTTGAAATTGAAAAAGAAATATCGAATGGGGAAAATTTATTTCAGTGAAACCGTCTATTTTTGTAACGACAATATCCGTTAAATTTCAAGTATCTAGAGAAATAATAAATACAAAATATCGTTTTTATATAACTAGATTAGTTTCTCACTTGTTTAAGAATCACAATGTTTAGCGGAAAAATTGTAAAAACCTACTTTTCGCCTACGAAACGAGCAATAGCTCTAAACAGTCCGGTGGAAAACGGATAAATTTATTCGTTTATATGGGAATATTTATCGCCCATTTCCACCGACAGTTCGAAATTCTCTTTATTTTACAATTTTATCGTATAAAATTGACAATAGTCAGCTTTTAATTGGGCGTAAATGCGCTTTAATACGTATATTAATTTTAATTATTAGTTTAAAAGAGAAAAAATATTAATTCGATTAATACCTTTCCTCTCCTTCAGTTTTATTTATTCGTTGATTTTAGTCTCTTGGATTCCGTTTTAAAAAATATTATTTACTTATGTTTTAAGCGAACAAGGTCAGCTTCGAGTTTACCAAACCAAAAGTACTACATTCAGCAATGGATCCGGTTCTATTCTAACCATAATAACTTTATATTAACTAGCTAGACACTGATGAATTAACATTCAAAGTTCTTAGCGCCGGCTATTCGGACGAAACCCGTCTGGAAAACGTCCCTGTCGCTGGCCAAATTGATGTAGTAAGTTAACAACTTCTCCGCCGCCAGAGGGTGCCACACGCCGAAGGTACACGAAGGATTCTCCTCGGGATCGTAATAATGACATCGTTTCGTCACCCTCGCCGAAGGAACGTACTCAAACACGTCCACGAACGAGCAATAAGGCAGAAGAAGTCGAAGACCTACCGCAAAAAAATTCGCATTACACTTACAACATTTTATACATTACCTAAAAGTACCTAAGAACCCGGACGACGGAGGATTCCTTCTCAGCATGCTGGGCGAATTGTTCTGCAAGAAATCCCACACGTCCCACACGTTCTGCGGGTTCAGCAGGAACGTCCTGGACTTCGGAGCGCCCCTCCTGAAAGCCATGTAATTGGGCAGCAGGTTAAACTCGGGCCGTTCCAGCCACTCTTTGATCGACGACGAGTAGTTACTGGGATCCCAGGCCACTATCGTCACGTTCTTGTACAAATTCGACGTCAGGAAATTGAACTGGGGTTTGGTCACGACCTGCGAATTGAGGAACCTGATGGTGGTTTTGGTGCCCACGTCGCGCTCGAACCCTTTCGTCGGGGCGTTGTTGAACCTCAACACCAAATCGTGGGAATCTGTAATGATTCGCTAGTAGAAATGTGGCGGGAGAATTCGATGTTAGAGTACCTATCAAAGCGCCTAGATTGGAGTCCCTGAGCGACCCGGCGCTGGCTACAATGGCGCAACTGTTGTATCGTTTATTCTCGAAGAAAGCCCTCTTCGGTATGAATTCCTTCAAGACGTGGTTTCTGATGTCGGCCCTTTTGATCGTGCTCAAGGGCGCGTCGATGAGCTCGCAGAGGACCCTCTTGGGGCTCTTCTCCATGAAGTTTCCCCTGGCTCCTCGGTATTGGACGTCGTAGGGGTTTTCCTTGCCCATGCGGAGGATGTTGCTTTCGTCTGTAAACACCCGCCTCAGTTCCTTGATGATGTTGTCTTTGTATTCGGACGTTTTCTTATCGCAGTCGATGGAACTGTCGTTCTTGGAGCAAACGAATTTCTTCGAATCCGTGTGGAAATCCTTCGGCTGGAGATTGGGGAATCTAGGCCGGCTGTTTTTAATGACGGTTACCGTGAGGTTTTCTTTGAATATCGTTGAATGCTTTTGTCTCTGTTTCGCTTGTAAGTTTATTGCGCTGTAAAAGAAATGTTAGCAATCCGAGTGGTTTTGGTAGAGGTATTTGCATCTCACCTATTGTTCGGGTAATATCCCCTGTTGTAATAAAAAATCTGTTGGTCGTAATTTGAGGAAGACGTTTCCGCTTGTCGCTCAATATAAAGCCAGTATTGCGACCACAAGAGGTACATGTAGCCGCACATACCGAAAAATACCAGGTTGATAAATACCCATATCGAAACGGCTAGGGCACGCATTTCACACTAAAAATTAATACCTGCATGAAATTATTGCATTTAATCCACCATACTATAACATTGCTACGAAATTTGTGTCGCAAGCGCCTGGACTATTACTGATGTGAAGTTAGGTACGGTTGCAAACGTCATATAGGTGGCGCGGGGGAACGAAAGTTCAAAAATCAATACACAATTTTAATTGCCCTTTTTAAGGTTATAGGCGAGAATTAAAGACGCCGCGAATTAAATATGTAGCAAACGAAAAATGCGCCACAACAAAATTCCACTTACATTAATTCACTTCATTTAATTTTGAAATATTCGCATGGTTTTCGAGCCGAGCACTTACATGCCCCTGGATATTATAGAGTCCACTAAGCATGCGTGTTAGGGTAATTACATAAATACAAAAATAGCTGTAGCGAATAATAATAAACCGGACATAAAATATGCGAGTTTGAATTTGTACGAAATGAAATGGCCAGTTTGAGCGAGGAATTCGAAAGAAATTGGATCACTTCTATAATAGGGATATGCCTACTGGGATTCGGTTGTTGGTTGTTGACTTGGAATGAGGTTAGGATTTTTCGTATAGCAAATTCGAAATATATTTATTTAAGCGCTCTTACGCATTTCTATTTATACAGGGTAGAGCGGTTCATCATGCGCATTCCCTGGACGAAACTTACCAAAACGCAGTGATTTTGAACATCTTCGAAAAACCCTCCGATTCGCTCGAGGGCCAGGTGGTACACGTAACAGGTTCCCTTAAAGTCGATGAGCCATTAACAGAAGCCGAGTATGGAATAGCCATACAAGCTGTGAAATTGAGGAGGAGAGTTCAAATGTACCAATGGGTGGAAGAACGATCGTAATGCTTCGATTTCCTCGTTAATTCAGTGCTAATCGTTTCGTTTACAGGCCGAGAAGCGAAGATGATGATACGAATGCTGGTACATTCAATTCCATCAGCGATTATTACTACATTACCGAGTGGCGTGATAAATTAGTGGACAGTAGTAGTTTTTACATCAGACACGGACATGAGAATCCTAGGTAATTAGGTAATTAATTGATTAAACTATCATATTTTGCTGAATATGCGCTTAATTTATAGAGAAATTCCACTAAAATCGGTGACTTACGTGTCTCCCGTTGTGAAGCTGGGTCATCTTCAACTCGGAGATGAAATTAAGGAGAAATTCGACGAGTATATCGAAATTACAAGCGACGAAAGGCCTGAAAGGAGCGACGTGAAGTTGCATATGGGTATATATTATCATTGCGATGATATATGGAACCCCGAAGTGGGGGATATTCGGGTGCAGTTTTATTATGCAGGCGGTAATGGAGATCCGGTAGGTGTTGTATTGTAGTTTTTCGAGGGATTTTAATGGTAATTTCGTGTTATTTTAGGTGACTATTATCGCTAAATTGGAAAATGGGGCGCTGGTGCCCTACGAGACGTCGCGAGGTCACCAAATAACGTTGTTGAGACAAGGGAATTTGAATATAAATCAAATGTTTTCGGCCGAACATTTCGATGCCAGGCTCGAAACGTGGAAGTTTCGAGGGCTTGGAATTTTCGTTCTGTACGCTTCCAGTGTATGTCTTTCAAGGCTTTTGAAAATTTTATGTAAGCTTGATTATTTCTAAATTTTATTACTGTTTTTAATACATTTTGTTTTAGTTTTTCAAGTATACTTTGCGAATTTTTATAGCGGTGAAGCCACATCTTTCGCGAATATAGTATTAGCCGTTTCAGTAGCCCTTTGTGTGATAGCTACAGCGTGGATTATATACAGGCCGATGTTGGGAGCGAGTTTATTCTTCGCCGCTGTTAGCCCCTTTTTGTATTTAACCATGGGAATATACAATGCTCAAAATATTCACATCAGTTGAATTCGAGTCATCCGTGAGTGATACTAGATTTATGTAACTTATTGTTTTTTTATTCGTTGTTTATAATAAAATAGATGTAGGTCCATGTTTTTGGATTCGTCATAATCGCTACATAATTGGTCAAATTTGGCAAAATTATTAATAAGGTGCATAATAATTTCAAGTGTAAGCTTGCCGGATGCGACTTAACGCAAGAGGCCATATAATAGAAAAAGAAGAATTTATATAGAAGATAATCAAAGGCATAATTAAGTGACAAATTTATGTAAAAGAAGAATGACATTTGAAGTTAATTTTTACATAACCACAAACAACTTTTTAAACGTATGAATTTTATTTAAATATTTTTAGGAATGATAAGTGATTGCTTTATAATATTTTTAATTTTCATTTCATTTAGTTCCGCATTTGAAAATAACACTTGTTCCAAGCAAAATGGAGATTGCAACATTACAGCACAGAAGATCAATAAATACTCCAAAGGTATAGTATACAGGGTGTTTTATTTATTTTTTTAAACTCTATATTTTAGAAACTAATTCAAAATACCACAAATATTTAAAACTAATAGCTGAGGCTAACGAAAAGTATGTTCCTTGTGACAATACGAAATGCTCCTGTTATACATCTGTGATCAAAAGCGATCTCGAACCCTTTAAAAATGGAATCACTAAAAAGATGCTGGCAGATGTACAATCTAAGTAAGCTTAAACAGTATTCACATTCACTTTTATTAATGAAATAAATTCCAGAGGTACTAAATATCAAATAATCAAACATCAACTGTATCGTGACGAGACTTGCATGTTCCCTGCTAGATGCCTCGGCGTTGAGCACTTTCTAATAGAATCCCTTCATAACTTGCCAGACGCCGAGTTCGTTCTTAACACCAGAGATTGGCCGCAGATCCACAAAAGACAAGGCACGGCCCTTCCGATATTCTCGTTCAGCAAGACGAACGACTATTTCGACATCATGTACCCGGCATGGGCGTTTTGGGAGGGCGGCCCCGCTATTAGTTTGTACCCAAGAGGCATAGGTAGATGGGACGTTCACAGGAGAACGTTGGGCGCTTTGGGTAACTCCACAGCTTGGTCGGAGAAAATTCCGAAGGCCTTCTTCAGGGGTTCGAGAACCAGCTCGGAGAGGGACCCGTTGATTTTGTTGTCTCGGGATCATCCGGAGTTAGTCGATGCTGCGTACACGAAGAACCAAGCTTGGAAATCCGATGCTGTGAGTCTATTAATTACTGTATTTTAGCAATTAATTTGTTGATTTTTTTGTTAGGATACTCTTCAGGCTCCGCCGGCTAAAGAGGTTTCGTTCGAGGAACATTGTAAGTACAAATATTTGTTTAATTTTCGAGGGGTCGCGGCGAGTTTTCGCTTCAAGCACATGTTTCTGTGCAAATCGTTGGTTTTTCACGTCGGGGACGAATGGTTGGAGTTTTTCTATCGGCCTCTCGTGCCCTGGGTGCATTACATACCCGTCGATTCGAATGCCGATAAAAAAACCATTCGAGAGTTGTTGGAATTTGTGAAAAATAACGACGAGGTGGTTAGAGAAATTGCCGAGAACGGTTACAATTTCATTTGGAATAATCTGAAAATGGCCGATGTTAGATGTTATTGGAAAAGGTTGATTAAAAAGTATGCGAAACTCTTAACTTTCAAACCTACTGTTGATAAAAAACTTAAATTGATAAAGGGCTACTAGTGATTTTGTATAATTCTTTTTATTAGCATTCCTTATATGTGATAATTGACAATAATCGAGGGTAAATATGACAATAATGTTGTAGCTTTAAGTGTTTTTAATGATCTGAATGTATAAGTATTTCACTGTTAGGTGTATATTGGTGTAAGAAAACTCGCATATTGAACTACAATTTATTATTTTTTATCTTCAAATTTTTACAATAAAATGTAAACACAAAATATCCCTTTCCATTGTAAAAATCCAAATCCTTACATTAATCCACCATAATAAAATAAATACTAAATATTTAATGTTGTAAACGCTACAAAAAAAAGTAAACTGTTTTGGCACCTCTTCCGCCCGAAATGCTATTTTTTACAAATTAAAAATCAGTCATTTTAAAAATCGAAAAACTAGAACCTACTCGTATTAAAACAACAGTAATTTCCATCGAATTTACCGAGCTAATTTCCGCGATGTAATTCCAATTAAAAGAGCCCGTCGAGGTCCACGCCGCTGTCGCTGGCGTACAAAAATTCGTACATGGCACTCGCCAGGGCGTCCTCGTCCTTATCCTCATCGACCGGAGCGAATTTCATGTCTTTTCCCGCCCGCCTCAGGTCCAAATCCCCGTCCAATTCCTCGTCGGACACGCCGGAGAATTTCTCTCTGATGTCCTTCATGATGCACGCCTCCAGCTTCTTGTGCTTGTAGCACTTGAAGAAGAACATGGGCCTGATGAGTTCGCGCGACAGCGGGGATTTCTCTTTCTTCACCTCCGGTACGCATTGCTAGAAAGAAATTCTCGGTTTGGGTGTGTTTATAGGTGGATTAAGCGCGGTTACTTACGGAAAATTGCTGGCAAAAGTTCACCCCGTCTTGCATGTCCTTGCGCAAATCGTCCGGAATGGATAAATTTTCGATTCTCTCGTTGATTCTCACGTAATTCGGTTCTAAGTTGTCGTCGAGATAGCCCAATTCCTGCATCACGCAGGTGATGTTCCTCACTTTACCGCTTATTCTCGATGTTAACAAGTCCAGTTGATTTCTCACGTCCATGTTTCTCTGTAAATTTCGATTGCTCCGTAGAATGTGTTTTATTAGCGGGATTTATCGTTGGTCTTACCGACATTCTGTTTCCGTAATATTGTTGGGCTACGAGTGGAAAATTGTATGGGGAGAATTGCGGTTGCTGTAATCCTGCATAGTAGAAGGGCGGCACCGGTGCGATTTGAGGCGCCCCGAATGGATTGCCGTAGAAATTGTTGGGGGCTAGTCCCTGGTAGGAGGGTTTGTAAGATTGCTGGGGCACTGGGTTCTATCGCAAAATAAATTCGTTTAGTATATTTCCTACATTTTTTGTATGTTTTTATCCTTACTGGTCTAAAGGCTAAAATAGCTTGGTGGATTTTCTCGGCTTCGAATGATTGTTGAGGGTACGCGGGATGTCCCTGCGGCAATTCCTGCTGTTGCGGTTTATTTTCCGGCACCGGAATCGACTGTACCGGCGAAATAATCGGGGTTTCCGGTGTGGAGCATTTCGCGCAGGCTTTCTTCAATTCCTGCCTTATCTGCCTCACCACTTCTTCGCCAAAACAACTTTCGTAAATCTGCGATAAAACCATTAAATAGCTATTTGTAAATTTGGGACGCAAAAAACCGTTAGGAAGCGAAAAATAATCGCTTGTTCATTTTTTTTTATTCCCACACCATTAGAACTATAGGTGGTCCTAAATCCTAAATGAAATTGGGACGTTAACGACGCATTTTTCGGCCATTAATTACGACTCGAATAAAAAAAAATATCCGTCCAGTTTTGACGGACACGCGGGAAGTATCACAAAGAAGGTGATAACCGTAAATAGTGAAATACCTAAAAATAGCCCGTAATTATTTCGGAGAAGTTCTTTCTCACAAGAAAACGATCCGATGGAAATAATTGCTCGAAATAACTGTTTATTAACGGGTTAGACAATGTACTTAAGTACACACATGGGAAAATTACGTTATTTGAAAATTAAAGGAAAACAAATTGTATAATTGGAATTTTTTAACTTACTTTCATCATTGCGTATTTCTTCAAAAATCTCTCATCGTTGCTTCCGAAAGAGTAAACTTGTACCGCGAAAATTGCGGCTAATAATAAATAAGCGGAATTCATGGTGAAAACCTGCAAGAAATATAACAATTTACCTCTTCAATTACCTACCTCTATTTATATCTAATTAATTAATTGGAGTGTTTCTTTTATCGTGTAAATAGAATTTATTATTAACAATTGTCTATAAATATCCGGCGCTTTGTTTATAATATTTGTAACGTATAGTAGCGCGCGGCGCAAACATTTCATTGATTAAATAATTATTATCAATGGACATGTTTTTGATTGTGTTTCGTATTAATAAATATTAGATAAATGTTTTTAAAGAAATTCTAAAACGATACTATTAAACGTGGTAGTAGCGAAAACGGTATACTTTAATTTTACCTTATAGCGTTTTATTAGCCATATGCTAAAAGCGAGAAAATTAGCATTCATCAGACGTATATTAAAAACGGTACAATTTTTTTTGATAAAATCGTATCGAAACATTTCAATGGGTACCGCTTTAGTTCCTTTTGTAGCGAATTTTAATTGAGCAAACTGGATAATTTTATACTATTTCTCTCTTATTAGATGTTAAAATTTTATATGCCCTTTTTACAGGAATTTTCAATTAAATTCCAACAAATCTTCGTGCAGGAAATGATTGTTAAATATTTCTGCGTGTTTTTGGAACGAGTACAGCAGACAATTTTAGTACTCAACCTAATAATATACTTCGAGAACTCTTTATATGTAACGTATTTGCTTTGAATACAAAATGCTAGGCTCGTTTTTTAATATTTGTGACTTTCTTCGGTCCGTCCGAGCGGCCTCCTTTATTATTCATCACAAACCCCTTTAGAATTTTCCGGTACAATTGATCGCACCAAAATTTCCCATACAAACTGTGTACCGGGCTTTAGTATTATTTTTCTACTCCGTCCACAACTGTTTTCTAATCGCCTATCGATTTAGCGAGTTGTTGCTTATTAAAATGATTAAATTGATTTTTTTGTTATACTCTATGAATAAAGGAAGGCATATTATAGCAAAATGGTTTTATTCAGTTACATTTCAGATGCCGATACTTGATAACGATTAGGTATCTAAAATGGAACATATTTATATGTGTATCACATTTATGTAAAAAATGTATGTACCTATACAAATAAAAAAATAAAACCGATGGAAACGAATTCATTACATACCTAAAAAATACCCGCAATTGAAGACGAACAAAACTCGGTATTATATCTTCGAAGCACCACCAAGAATCACCGGCGACTTCTTCGGCAGCCCGTCATCGCTTCTTTATATTCCTCCACCTCTTTTCTCAAATAGGATAGGCGAATAGGTTTAGGTTTTCCGAACGGTGAAGAGACGGATGGACACGCGAACTACGTCTCGAGTTCACGGGTTTCGGAGATGCGTGTATTATACGTTAGATTGCATTACACGCGTATCTTCTGGCTTCTTCGTCGCATCCTTCGCAGGGTCAAGTTCGTTTATGCAACGGACAGGTTGCTAGAAGGTCATCGAAAGTACTGGAAAAAATGCTTGTAAAGAAGGAAATTTTCGGAGTTCTTTCTGCGAAGATTTATTGTTCGAAATAAACTGTTAAGTACTTAACACGGTTGTGTTGTTTGCTTTCTTTAACACGCGAATTGAGGAAATTCGTTAAAAAGAACGTACCGTTAAATAAGCGCGTTATCAATGATATTCCTCTTCGAGAATTTGGAGAAAAAAATCGCTTGAAATAAAATAGCCATTAAATCCGTAGAGTCAATATTGGTAAAAGATTTTTTTTAAGTTATGTAAATGGATCGGGTGGCGTACCATCAAACCGTGAAGTCGAAAGTTAACATAAAAAGCTATAGAATTGTTTGTTTTTACTCCGGACTGTTGAACTAGCGAGAAGACCTGTTTGCGTTATTAAATTCTTTGATATGATAGCAAAAACCGGCATTGAACTGTTAGACGGTAAATTAAATGATGTAGGTTTTTCTATGGCGCGGAAAACCCATGGACAGGAAACCACATAGCAAACAAAGAGCACTGAAAGAAACTATCAAGTATTTAGAATAAATGGTAAGTTGAACTTGAAGAGAATTAAATCGAGTAGTTAATTTTTATATAAACTTTAATATAAATTCCTTCATAAAAACGTTATGAACGATACGCCTATAAAAAAATTAACTTCAAGTACCTGTCCGATTAATTTTCGACTCGATAATACGCTGAAAGTGCACAATAAGTAACAGTAAAGCAAATACAAAGTAGTAAGTACTCGATGATTTTTTTTTTATAATTTAATAACATGTCAAAATGTACCGTTAGGTATAAGAAAAAACCATCGGAAACTAATATAAACGTCGTTTTAACGTCGAGTCACGGACCTAAAAACTGCAATAAACAGACGTTTATAAAACTCTAAGGTTTCGAAGGAATCCGTAATCGCCGCGATCTCGATTATTCGTGTCTAAGAACTGTATCGTGACCAATTGCTAGGTAGGTGCTTTTCGCTGTACGATGATGGGAAAATAAGAAATTATACTCTATTACCTACTCGTTTTTCGTTTGATTTGAACAAGAAAAAAAATCGAGTCTTTTCTTACTACGCTCAGTTTTCATTCAACCGCATTCTTGCGTTTTTGTACTTTAAAAAAGACAAACAATCAATTCTATAGGTATCCTATAAGCGCGCTTCGAGCAGTTAACGTAGGCGTTTAAAAAATAACTCGTTAACGAACGGTTTAACTAATATTTACATATAGCTATTTTGCATTTCACGGCATAATTTACTGAAATATACGTGAAATTCCCACGTTAAACAATCAACGTTTTTATCTTCGCCGGGATAACTGTATTAGTAGCAATTAAAAAATTACATTCGCCTGTTAAATATACCGGCAATTAACTACATAATTTAGATGTTATATACCTAGACAGCCATTGTTGTTATTTAATCGTCCATTACCGAGAACTTTTATTGTTTTTGCGGTAATGTTCTCACCTTATCCAGTCCAGTTAAAATTGATTCAAAAAGCGCATAATTTAAAAAAAAAAATTCAAATTAGGCAACAGTTTTGACAAACTATTGGCTTAAGCACACAATAGTTGAAGACCATCTGTCACATAAAAAATAGTAAACAAACCAACTGTCAAATCATCACGACATAACCTCAAACCACATCATGAATAAATAAATATAAAATGATCAATATACTCATAAAGCTTTTGAGTTTATTAGTAAGTAAAATGCTTCGTGGTTTTAAAAAAAATCTTATTAAACTTTTACGCAATTAGTTATATTCCAGGACCGAATTCAGAGATAACTTCAATTCGGACTTGGAACTTTTAGGATACAAATACGGATTGATAGGAAACGAAAGTTTCGATTACTATTACATTTACCACTCGGGCAACATCGTTATATCTCTTACAACAAGGTAGAATTTCAGAATTATTAACCGCCGAATTAATACCGAAGTCCCGTTATTTCAGAGAAGGAGATGCCGATTTGTACATTTCACAAACCGCCGTCTATCCGACATTCTACCCCGACAATTACGATCTCCATTCGGCCACTTGCGGACTCGATTCGATAGAAATCCCTTCAAAGTACTCGCTTGAACCGATAGATAATTTTCGTAAAAATACATGTTCAATTTTCTAGCTTCGAAACTCCTATAGCTGTTGGAATTTACGGCCATTCGGGTCACGAAGTGAGCAATTACGTGCTGGAGGTGTACAAAAACCCGAGGACGGAAGGGCAGGCGTTCGCTGTCATTCTAGATGAACTTCCCGAGAGCAAAGAGGACTCAAATTCGAATTATCGCAAAGACGATGAAGGAGAATCGAGCAGAAAACAAAGAGATAAGGATTCGGAACGGAAGAAAAAAGCTAAACAAGCCGCGTCTACTGCCATAGGGTTTTCTTCGTTGCTCGAAATAATCGGCTTGATATTTCTATGACAATGTAGTTGTTTTTTAGTAGTTGTTTTGAATTGTAAGAGAAGGAATGTTGTTGATATTTTAAGCGATTTGTTTAATGTGATATGTACATTTGTAATAAATAATAAACTTCTTTTATCATATTTAAATCAATACTCGTAAAGATCTTTAATATATTCAAAACCCTGTATAATTTATATTGTAATGTTGGTTGCCTACCTAGCAGATTTAAAATAAATATTAATTTTTTATTTAATTCCCCAAAAAAAGCCCTATGGAGAACAAATAATAAATCTTTCCACAACATTTGTTTTTTGCCTAGTTCCATTTTTAACGATGTGAATTTAAATAACTAATGAGATATCGTGTAAAACGTTAAACCACAAAAGGTGATTCATTTGCGGTTTGACGGACACTTTCATTATTCCGTGTTTTAACATTTTCCTTTTGATAAGGTGACGTCAATAACGATCAAAAAGACTGAAAGAAAGCGCTATCATTTTCCTTTCGAGAAATCACGTTAAAATATCAACTTGAAAAGGTTAAAATAATCGAATAATTGTACCTAATACGAGAAAATATGATTTCTGGCGTTTCATCGTGGAATAAAAAATGTCCAATAAAATCCGGTTGAGAGGAAGATTTTTTGCACAACAGTTTACAAAATAAATAGTTACGAGTCTAGTCGGTATAATGGTAGAAATGCAACCTTTCCCTCAACCTTGAAAAAGGGTTTCCGAGTATTACCCCGAGCTTTCTAAAGCTATAAAAATAAAAACCAAACAGAAGATATTGCCGGTTTTTGCCTGTTTTTAAAATAACGTTCGACAAAATGCAAATCTTTCTCAAAGGGTTTTTATTTTAGGGTGCCATAAATATGCAAAAATTGGAAGAAGTCAATGACGAAAAGATTAACGCCGAATGGACCGTAAATCTCCATTTGAATATTATTACTTTGTAGGTAGTGAAATTTTCGGAAAAAATAAAAATAAAAACGCCGATTCGTTATCGATTGTTTTTATCAATTTTAACCTTATCTCTCAAACAAACACGATTTTAACTAAATACTATTATCGGGAATAGAGAAAAAAGAAAATAAAATTACTATTGATATAGGTCTGAAACTTCCAAGAAACTAAAAAAAGAAAGATTATTCAACGCCAGTACCAATGACTCGAAAGCAAATATTTTCGAAGATAAATGTAAAAATTTCGAAATTCACATACATCCATCCGACGTCGATTTTTACCTACTTTATTACCTGAATTCGAAAAACGTCCAACCCTTTTTACAGAAAAAATATAACTATTGACAATTCAATAGCCTGTCGATAATTGAACGGTCCTCAAAAATTCACAATTTTCGAAACCATTCCCGAATAAATAAATCGCCTTTTTAACACCCCCAAAAAAAACCTTCATCTTACCGCCCCCCGACGCATCGAATTAATTCGCCGGCCTCGTAAAAAAAAACCCGGATCTTCGGGGGCCATAAAACCGTCCCGAACGATGCAAAAAAATACAGATGGGGGGACGGCGATCGCTCGGCCGCCCCTTCACCATCGATACGTGTTTTAGTATCGAACGGCCATAAAATCTAAAATGGCCGCCTCTCGGAGTCTGCGAGGGTAGAGCGGACCCCTCCCGGTTCCCCCCCATTTCGCGCGACCTCAAAACAGATTGACTCCCGGCACTGGCGTCGCGACGCTCCGAACCCGACCTTTTTTTTTATAATTTTTCTCCCGTATACAGGGCGCCTTTATCGCAGTACAATCGGGACGATTTTATTTTCCCCATCAAGAGACGATAGAACACAAAAATAGAAATAAAAAATTTAATCACGAAAAGAACAAATTTCTATCAACTTTATACTTTAGCTACTGTGAAGCAGAAATTAAATTTTGTTGAATACGAGAATATGGCAGGGGTTTCATTGGTCATCTGACGCCACTGGACGTGATTCATGCGGGGGTGGATAAGAAAAAAGAACCCTTCAATTGCAATCTGACAGATGTATATTGGTGAGCGGGGGCTCGGGTGACGGTAAATGGGAACGGGGTTGGGGACGCTGCCAGGTATATGAATAATGCAAAAATCCCAACGAAACCTAACGAGGGTGGGTCAAGAAAGGGGTGGTTAAAAAAGTCGAAATTTCGTTACCATGAGATTTGGAAACAAAAAATGACAGAGAAACGTGATTTTCGATAAGACGGCGTATTTTCGATGGATATATCGGGTTCGTTATCTTTAGCGCGGCGTTATTTTTACGAAAGAATCGAAAAAAAAAAATAATTAGGTAACTGATATTTACGTTTCGACGGCTAAAAATAAGCCATAATTTCATAATAATAAATACGTTATTTGTGTCAATAAAACCGTTAAAGTGAATCACACCACTACAACGAAAACAATATCAAAATTCTCCATTTAATAATTATATTTAAGTAATTTTTTCGTAGCCATTTTCGTTTTCTATAAATCTCGAACAATCCAATTCGGGGCTAGTTCGATGGGACAACAAAACCTTCATCACGCTTCGGCTAACAAAGGCGAGTTGTTTGTCCTGTTTCGAGCGAAAGGGTAAGTGACCCTTTTGCCGAAAAAACATCCATTCGAGGTAAAAGAGTAACCCTACACCTCAAGCAGATGCAAAAATTTCGTTTGTTGCAAAACGTCCTCTCGCCACATCATATACTTTTTATCCGCATTATGTTTATTCAAACGCATCCGGAATGTTCGATACGGCGTCCGATCTCTCGGTATGCCATGCCGCCAAATTATCCACCGAAAAAAAAAAAATCTGGAATATACTCCCGGTGATTTACATGATTTATCGACGAAAAGTATCGAATGTCCGCAATTAAGGAAGCTCGTATTGTTCGAAATCGCCTAATTGAATCTTTAGGCGCTAGAGCGTAGACACTTAACGAACATGTGAAACCTAAAAAAAATATATATACAGGGCGCGTCGTTTTAACAACTCCCTTTTACGATCGCATCATCAGTGGAAAAGTGGAAATAAATAAAATAATTCCAAACCCCCCGCTGTACTGTTAACGCCATATGATAGGGGTTGAATATACAATATGCCTACTTGGCATTCGAAAACAATGCCTTTACTGGGAATTGGTATTTTTGGCGAGTCAATTTGCGAGCCCTTATGGCTCCCAATTGGGTTTATTGAAATTTATGGGATTCGTACGGAGCGTTTAACCCAATCAATTGATTTTAAAATGCGCCGTCGTAAATCAAAACGGAGGAAAAAAATTGAGTTATCAGATCAGATGGCGTTCGGTCCGAGGAAGTCCCACGAAAGCGCTACTTTTACAAGCTCACGAATTTGTATTTTTCGTGTATCTCTAAGTGGTTTCTATTTTCGTGGTTCCGAGTCGTTTTTAAACAATATTATTAATGACAAGGCCTGGACGTAAATTAGAAGAGGAAACAAACCGACTCTCGGGAATTCCTACTGCTTAGAAGGTGTCCAAAAAGACAGTGGCATATCCGTGTTTTTTCACACTAAATTAAAGCCTTAATTTTATACGAGAAATACTTGCAATTCCCGGGATTATACAGTCAAAATATTTACAATTTTTTTACGCATTGTACTCGAATAAGTAGAACTTCAAAATGCGTTCGACATAAACAAAAACTTTCAAAATTGACATTAATGACATTTGAAGAAGAAATTTCGAGAAATCAAGCAGGCAAGATGGCGAATTTACCTGAATTTTTAGCCGTTATCGAAATCGAAATTCCGCTGCAAAAATTTTGCTGCTTGCATGCTGCTGGTCCCACGCAGGAATTCCACACACTACTGTTAATTCTCTACACTACCGTATTTTACAAATTTTTATCACATTGTACGCAAATAAAATACATAAACGAAAACTGTCAACATTGACATTAATGACATATCGAATGACAGAAGTGTAATAGAGATGGGAATCATTTTTTGTATAGAGGTGCAGTAACGACTGTTACAAAATAAGCGTTATTTTTCTAACTATCGACTAATTAACAATAGTATTTCAAATTCCCTATGGATGCGCTTGAGAGTATTTCGCGAAGCACGCGATTGGAGCGCCTCCGGGGCCTGATTTATCTGGTTCGGGTGTCGGAAGCGGACATTCCCCGGTCGCCGGAGCTATGCGGAATATGCAGAAACGTTTTTAATGATAGTTACCGGTCAGGGGAAGAAGGAGCCCGAGGAAAAAATCGGCCGCCCTCAAATGTGGACATCACTTGGACAGCACCGGAAGGTCGTGGTATTTTTTTCGCATAAATTTCCTCCGTGGGAAAAGCACTAGATCTTCCCAAACGAGCGGGAGGCCGGACAAATTGCGATGATAAATAATAAGACCGTTTTTGCGCAATGTCGGAGCGGCTCAATAAATCTTTCGTTGGTTTCTGACGTTTTATTGATAAAACATCGATTTTGGTTTTGTAGAAAGTTGCGGTTTTTTTTTACTTTCGCGATAACCTTCGATAGGACGTTTCCAAAGGAACGTTGTGCAACTGAATTGTGTTAGAATTTTCGTGGATTCGCGTATTTTTTAAATTTTTTCGCGATAAAATTCTGTTTGTTCGACATTAAAAAGGTTTATACCGTACAATAAAAATTTTATCTCGAATTTTAACTCGAACTAATAACCTTTTATAAATATTTCGTGCTCGTATTGCATTGACTTTCATTGAGTTCTTTTCTGAAGGTTATATTTCTTCGATGCCTCATCGTGATTGTTGAGAATTTAATCTCGAATTGCACGAACAATTACGCACAATTTCGAGCATTTTTCGAACGTTTCCCCGCCCGCCGGGCAAATGTCCCTTTTATCGGACGACGCTCATTATAAATTATTTTGACCAGCAGTGAATAGAAAAATCATCGAACATATCGGAAATGGGTAAATCGAGATGGTTTTGTGTGTGCGAACTGACCAATGTCCGGGATCCCATACAATAGGGGCAGCCATCGAGGCGGGGGTGGCCCCGCTCCAATCGTCATTGTAAGGATTATTTCGAGAAAAATAGCCCGAATAATCGACATATGTCGCTTATACAGGACGATTCCCAGTTCCCTA